CTCTCTCTCTCTCTCTCTCTCTCTCTCTCTCTCTCTCTCACACACACACACACACACACACATATTTCCAAGCTGTTCCCACCTTAGCTGCACGAGTAAGGCCCCTCCGTGAGAGGTCCACACCAACAACTTTTTCCAAGACAGTTGTGTGGTCAAATAAACCATCAAACAAGCCACCCGAACCACATCCAAAATCAACCTACACAATATAGAATTCCTCAAGTCAGAATGATAATTATCTAATAACAATTTATCTGATATTTGTTTTTCATTATGGTTGATGCATTTGAGAGGGTTTTCATTATATCTATTTTTCCATTGAATGCATATTTTAGAATTGTACCGCATTGTACATTTACATTTAATATAAATGCAGCTGTGTTTGTGTTTTGGGATGGTAAGGGGAAATAGGCGAGCTCCTACCCACAGCTAACTTATAGACATATTTAGAGATAATGTTAGCGATAGAGCATTTAAAAACACAAACATTTAAAAACACAAAGCAAAGATCAAAGTATACCAAAGTAGTAGCATCCAGCTCCTTAATGTGATGCAACGCAAACTCCATTCGCTGTTTTGAAAGGGAGGGGGTGAAGAAAGCCTGCTCTATTCTATCTTCATATGGTTCACTAACTTGCAACAGCCTTAATGTGTACTCTGCGGAACATGTTCCTGCAAATACGACACACATCACAATACGACACACATCACCAATGCAACAAAGCTCACTTCAATTATCTTCCCAATGACTGAATTTTGGCATTTAACCAAAAGAGAGAGAGAGAGAGAGATCACTATCTGCAATTTTCCTGGAGATTTTCAAAACATCAAAATTATTCGCTTTGAAAGAATAAGAAAAGGGACCTTTTGGATACATACAAAATAATTAACTAAAAAAAGTAGATAATATTACAAAGGAAAAAAGTAGATAATATTACAAAGGAAATATTAATTTCCAACTTTTTTTTATTTGGGTTTCTACAGGCTTTCTTTTGTTTAAAAAAATCTATTTCATTTTTCTTGCAAAGTAATGTACAGATATAATTGACACATTTATTTAATAAATTACAAGAACATAAATAGAAGAAAGTCAAGATTGAGAGCCCTCTTAAAAAAAAATCTCAAAATATTGTGAAATAATTTTTTTAAAAATGGATATATCTTATTATATTTCAAAGTTGAGTAAATGTCACATGCCTTGTCCCAATTATTTGGGGTTGACTACATGAATCCATTTGGGGTTGACCGCATGAATCCTACATAAGTGCCACCTCAGTGATAGCGCTTTAAAGGGAGAACAAAATTACTCACCAGATAACATCCGAGGAAGAGTTTCTGCAGCATCACCAGCGGCAGCCAAAATTAAATCCATAGAAGGCAAGTTCCCACGAAGTTGGGCAGTTTGATTGACTGACATCTGAGTTAAAGAGGTTTCCAGCTGATGCTCAATAGCACCAACGCCTATCTCTAACTCAAACTCATCCTTTCTTTCAATTTCAAATGGTTCCTCCAAATGCTCACCCACCAAAATCACACTATAACTTATGCAAACTAAAGATCCTACTGTTGGAGAAGCACCAGAATCAGCACCTTCGATGCCGAGAAGAACAATTTCATCAACCAATTTTGTACCTAACCTACCCTCAATGGAAAAAGGTCTTAGAGATTTGAGTTTCTTAAGAGTACAATTGCCACCATAAATCAAACCACATAATGCAAATTCCTTCGTGATACTTTGAAGTGAAACCCTAATATCACGAGCATCTAGTAAAGAGACCATCTTCTCTATAGGAAGATCTAAGTTCTTTAAACACCAATTCAACCATGTGAGCACCTTTAAGGCAGCATTTTGAATAGCATCATGCTGTCTCCGATAAGACACATCAGGAAAGCATTCGATTAGTATATCCTCCTCTTTTGACAATATTTTTATTGCACACTTGTAAAGCACTTTTCCAAGTGATTCTTCACAGGGCTCCTCACTATTTGCATCACCCACACACCCATCTAAGTTTGTAGTGTTGATTATAGGATCTGAAAGTCTATGCTGGTGGCAAAATGTGGTGAGGAGATCCCTCGGGGAAGTTCCTCTCCAGTTTGAGCGTGTTGTATATGAGGCCGGTAACTCAGATAGAATTATCGAATCTCTTGATAACTTGTAACTTCCATCAGGTAGCTTACTGAGAAGCATCCTGGAGCATCATAGAGAGCAAGCAACACAAAATTATTAGTGTAAAACTTGGTCATAAGCATATATTCATAAGTACATGACAGATGGTATATAAGATGCAAATCATTTGCAAGATAGTTGTAAATTTTAGAAACAATAACTGAGGCCAAATTATACATGGTAATTCTGAAATCTAACCCAAGCACCAATTTTTCAGGTTGAAATTGAGTGAAGGTAGGAGAGGGGAGGTTTGAACCTTTATGTCTTCTTCTGCAAGGATATAAATCCCCATCATTTGGCTGTTAGGAATCATGAAAAGAAAAGAGGGATGTCAGCGTAATGGGGAACTACCGGGGGATGGGGGGGTTAGGAACTGTAAAACATAGTTTCTTCAAGTATCATAACCTTTTCATGTCAAGGTAGTTCAGGAGATGGAAGAAAATGGAAGCACAATGAAAATGAGAAAGGGAATTAGTATCAAAAAATAAATGAAAAACACAGGTTTAGGGAAATCAAAGGGTGGAGAGGGAGGTTTCCTAAGGAGGTACTGAGTGGAATGTTGGCATCAGCCTACCCGCCTACTGGGACAGGAATTTCTCCTTCGGTCGATGCAGGGAAACAGGAGTTTCCAAGGGGAGTAACCATGGATTCCGAGGAACCCACCACTCCTCCGTCAGATCTCCATCCACTGGAAACCAAAGGAGGCGATTTTCGTAAATTTCCACCATTTCTTCTCCTCTTTTTTCATTTTTGCTCCCTGAATCCTGACAGCCTGCTCATGCACATCCAATAGTAAAAAATGGGAGTTGAATATGGTTAATTCCTTTGTAGGGGTAAGGGTGGTTTTAGGATCAATTGGCCCATCTAATTCAGGGATTAATAAGAGGGATAATAGGGACTCAAATCCACATGCCCTGAAGAACGACAACTACATCATCATACACGAATCGTGACGTAATCTAAAATGCATTGATTCAGCTGGGAAGGAGAGGTGTATCATTTGTATGATGCCCTCTAAGGAAAACCTACGAGATGCCCTCTAAAGAAACCGGGATGCCCTCTAAAGAAAACCTACGGGCATAGGTGAGAGAGGATGTGATATCATGTGTTGAGGGTGAATTCAATGTCATTAAAAGTTTAAAACCTATGGGCACAGGTGAGAAGGGACATGATATAGCATGCTGAGGGTGCCTCAATGTTGCTAGATTCTCCTTTGATAAGAAAGGCCATCAGAACTGCAACTTCAATGCCGAAAAGAGCAAACTAGAGTTAAAATGCATAAGAAGTTTTACTGCTTAATATAGACATGAATAAATTCAAGGGTGCAGTTGGCATACGGATGCATCCGTAGCTGTAGAGGTAAGGTGCACCTTCAAATTTTATCATGGTATATAATTTTGACGTAAAATGTTCTTAGGATTATCTCAAAATCTATTTTTATATCTAATTATAAAATTTTAAATTTCAAAAATGGTTAAAATCAAGTAGATCTATGAATATATGAAAATCTTGAAAATGGACAGCGTAGATAATATGTTGTAAAATGCACTATTTCTGAGACTTAATTTTTCATGGTCATACATCTCGATGACGAGATGATCAATCAAAGGGTTTTTCAACATTAAAACTACCTTTTCCGATGGATTTTTGAGGTGCATCCGTAGTTCTACATTGTAAGGTTTGGCATCCTTATATAAACTTTTTCCTAAATTCAATATTCACTGATCCACTCAAAAAGAAAATCTCCTAGAAGTCATAATATTCTTTCCAGAAAGAAAAATATCTCACAGAAATACTTGTAGCTACAAGAAAAAGAAAAATATATGAACATGATGGTAACTAACCTGTAATAGGAACAAAGTAAGAAGTTCTCATGGAAAAGTCCTGTGGACCTCCACGTGTACCCAGTGGATACCACCACTGCATCTCCATATACCACTTGGCTTGAAAAATAAGAGGCCCTTGCATTGAGTGTCATCTCTAGCCCGTCTTTAATTGTTGGTGTCACCTCAAGCGATGGATCTCCCAAGAAAATTGGAATATCAGGAGCTGTGAAATACACTCTTATCTCAGAAGATGCCTTGCCAACAGGTCTGTAAAAGCAAAATGACCAATCAAAGACATTCATGGCCACCAACTCTTCTTGGCCAAATGATAATAATAATCATAATAATAATGATATATCAGAAACTCAACCAACCTAGATATCAAAACACGGGTGGCATCCTCAACATTCAACTTTTGTGCAATTACATCCATATAGTATTCATTTTGATGAATTTGAAGCAAGAAGGGCTCAACTGGCTGGTCCAATGAGCAGGGGATATGAACAGCTTCAAGCTGACAGCTCTCAATGTGCTCCAAATGCTTATTTGCCAACCTCTCTTTAACCTCTGAAGAATATGGGTTTTGTCTCCATATCCAAAGTTCCCTATCAGAAGCACATATGGAGTCCGAGAGCTTGGCAGCCTTCATGATAAGTGCTACTGTCAAGAAAGGGTCTGACACTGCCCTGGGATTTATGGATTTGCATAAATTAATCATCTTTGAATCGCAAGTAGGGAGGACAGAAGCAGGAATGAATCCGTTACGGCAACCCTCTCTTTGAATAGCTTGTCCAAAGTGATTGACCAGTGGATTAGGTGATAAGAGGAACTTTGCCATTGAAACAGGGAGAAAATTTTAGAATATTATTTAGAAATCTGCATCCACAATAAAACATCCACAAACAACCAGTTGCACAATCTACCCTCTCGAGCCTAGGTCCTCTTTAACAGAAGTAGAATTTCCTTAAAAGTTAAAATGACATGGACATACTGTGAATCATCACCCAGAGTATTAAATCAACAGTATCTTGTTACATCCAAATTACTAATCACAGTTTAATTTAAACTTTGCTCAGGAGTTATGCTTTACAAAGACTGCGATAAATGCATAAAACATATCGTTATTCATAAAAAACATCTCAATTACTTAACATGTTCTTCACAGAAGTAACAACAGAATTCAGATGAACGTAACATATTCTTCAATAATTCAGTTCAAAATGTACAGAACAAAAAAAAAAGGTTTACTAAATGGCTTCTACAACTTCAAACATGTCTGATCTCCAAGCTTGCACGTAAAAGGAAAAATTACAGAAAGTTTTCAGACTTTATTTGTTGCCTGACATTCTTATTCATAAATCATTTTCAATATTCCATTAATTAACGCACATAGCCCTCTATTGCTCCACCACCACCTCGGCTACCCGCACAGGAGGAGGGGTGGAGGGGGGGGGGGAGGGAGAGAGAGAGAGAGTTTTGGTGCCGGTGGTGGTTGGGGGGCTATAAGTAGTACTGATGCCAATTTGTCAATTTTTAAAAAGGATCATGAATGATATAGTCAATAGATATAAAATGCAATAATCATAGGATTACATAGAAAAAATTAACATTTATGGTTTAAATTATAAAACACAGAAGTATAGGACAGTTTTTAAATTAGACCCACAAATAGGGATAGTGGTATTTAAACATCTACCTTATAACTGAGACCCAGAAAAAAAAAAAATTGCATACCCCATCAGTAAATAATAAAGATACACGAACAGCTAATTCTTCCCACTTTTCCTTCATAGTGAGCTGATTTGACGAGGAGGTCGAGGACTGGATACCCAGCTGCAAAATATGAAAACATTAGCTACTAAAACCATTAGATAGAGTGTAAAAAAATTGTAAAGAGTAGATGATGACATTTCATGTGTGTATAAACCCCACATTAAATGAAATGCAAAACGAAAAACAGATACACATGCCAATTTTCCACTAGATGAAGAAATAAAAGGAAGACAATGACAGTTAGATTGCAAGACATACATGTGAAGTTCCAGTTTCATTGAAGCCATGGAGGCTATAAATACCCAGAAAGAAACAACAAGGAGATACTTCAACAATGTTAAATAACATAAGCAGGTCCCCACCTAAAAAAGTGTAATGCAACTACGGAACAAACTCAAGTTTGATTAATACTCAAACAAGGACTGTTGAAAGTGCACATGCTGATATATAAGGAATTAATTATTTAGGAGGTCGCCTAGCTGCGAAAACTAGTATGTAGTGACAAATATACATCGACATTATGATTTGACAATATGCACAACCATTCGCTTCTCAGCAAGCAGCTGCGCAACAAAAGGAAGTAAGCCAAATCCTCCACACAAGGCACCTCAAGTCAACATAATACCACGAATTGTATTGTCAGCAAACCTCCAAGCATAATGAGTGTTCGCAATTCAGAAGGCTGGCTAGAATCAAGGACCATTAGTTGTGATAGCGACTTCATGGAAACTACTCTACAGGCCCCGAAAAAACCCTTAAGATGCAAAGATATACAGTAAAGTAGATTTTATAAGATTACCTAGACCCCTGCTTATTGGCTATACAAGTTGAGAAGACCATCAACCACAGAAAATCTACTATTTTATCTCAGTCACTCAATGCATGAGCAGAATACCTACTCAGATCAGTAGCCATTATTTGCATTGCATCACTTTTTAGCAGCTAGCAGTTGAAACTCCGTTCATAATACTTTCTTCTTTTCTTCTATACTAAAGTTTGCATGCTAGAGTTTCTGGCTCTCGGGCCTCAATTCCATCCTAGGTTAGACAAAGGTTGGCAAAAAAAATCACTCTTCTAGAGGCAGGTAGTCAAATATACACAAATTGGCTACACTACAATCACTGCAGCACAAAGAAAACCCAGAAGCAGGAAACGTAAAGAGGAACAAATACGACCAAATTTTAGGGCTAGCATGATATATTCGAGAATAGGTCACCATCACATTGAACATCATAGAGCCTAAGAAATACATTTCTATTACAAGGCAACATGCCAAAATTAAATTTGAAACTACAGCACAAAATGTATCGTCAATCAAATCTATGCTGAACACGGTCACCGAGAATATATTTAACAGCGAGCACCACCCTAATATAAGAAAGCAAAGGTAAATGTCAGTCCTGGGTAAAATATGTTTATCTTGGTTTAGTGATCAGGTTATGGAGGCCTCAGTTATGGAGGCCTCATGACCAATGTCTAAAGAAAAACAGGAAGAAAAAAACACTATGCTAATGATGGAACTACAAAGCTCAAATAGAATAGTAAAACAAAATAACACAACACAAAATAAATTGGGCACCTTTTCAAGAGCCAGCTTTGCAGCAGCCTGCTCTGCATCCTTCTTTCTAGTGAACACATCTGAAGTAACTGTGAACTCTGGGAGCTCCAAACAGCAGCGAAATCCACATTTGCTTTGCTGAGGCATAACAAGCCCGGGGCACCCATTGCCACAACTTTCAACAACTTCTTCAGTCTTGTATTGCACTTGACTCCCATATTTTAGGTTCAAAATAGACTTGGGAGTTGCTGTTGGCATAATGTATAACTTACCTCCCAAAAGTAACTGAGCAAAGTGAAGAGAAATACCAACTTCTATGCCACTTCAAAAACAATGGCAGGTCAGAAAATAAATACTTAGACAGAGCTTGTCTCAAAAATAGCACCTGCAATGAACCTGTAACGTTAGAAATGATTCAAGAGGTAATGCACTGAGAAACTATAAATACAGTTTATAATAACCCAAATTTTATAATGGAAAAGTGCAAAAAAGAGATCATTTACTTTTTTATACGCAGAGGTCACAATCACTCATGTGCGCAGATTTCAAATCAGGTGGTTGTGAGTGTGCCATTGACTAGATCCAAAGCTCAAAAAATAATTTATCGAACTTTGTGACACACCTCAAGCCATCAATATGACATCTAATGGCTAGGAACAATTGTGACCTCCTTGTAACAAAGATATATGGAAAAGTATACAATGAGACCGTTTACCTTTGGTACAAAGCGGTCACAATTAATCTTGACCATTTGACGTAAAATTGGGTGGTTGCATGTATTCCATTTGACCGAGCTCAAAGTTAAAAAAAAATATTCCTCAAAACTTTGTGACATAACCAAGCTATCAAATTTCACATCGGATGGTCTTAAATAATTGTGACCTCCTTGTTCCAAAGATAAATGGCCTCATTGTATACAGACCCAAGATATATGGTCTCATAATATACGATCCCTTTTATAATATGACTAAAATTGGCTGATACAACTCAGAAGCCTAAAGTCCATTTTATGTTTAAAAGTAGACTATTTCGTTAAAGACAAAATTCCCTATCATTTAACTCTCATTTTAAGCTAGTTGCTTTTAATTACAAAAATATTTAAACACTCACCATGCAAGTTTGGATCAAAAACCCACTGAAACCCTAATCAAGTTCAAGTTTGTTAACTTTGTTAAGAAGCTCGTCCGTAAAGACATTAAAAACTGGACTGCTTATGGTTCTCAAGTGGAGAGTTTTTTTTTTTTTTAACGTGTTAACCTTTAATAGAACAGAGAAAAAGTACAAGAGCCTTGGCAATCCACATAAGAGGATGCTCAAGGGTAAAGCAAACCAGAATATGGAATCAAAATCCTCTTTTAGGAGGCTACAGTGAGGCACAGCAACCTAGAAAAACAGGTCGATCCACGAAGCAAACCAAGAACCAAAAAGACCACAAAAAACCAAAAACCAAAAAGATACTAGTCTTGAGCCATCGCCGTTGATGAACTGCTTATGGTTTTCATGTATAGGAAAATTAAATTAAATCATGTGTGCAAAATGAGTCAAACCAATGTTGGAAAACTCAGTGAATCCAACTCATCGGAATTACCCAAGTTACTGGGGCTTGGCAAGCTACGAGTTTGGGAACCAGCCTAGTCTGGCTGGTTCCCATTTTTTTTTCTTTCTTTTATATAGACTCACCTGCTGGGTCTGTTAGACCTCACTCGGGCCTTGCATGAGTCATGGTTTTTAACAGCGAGTCAAACAGCCAATAAGTGTAAGAAAGAAAACTAATAAATACAAAAATAGTACGAAAGAAGGATATGACCAGAAAACCTTATGTCGAGCTCTATATCTCAAACCCTAGGTTTCCAGCAAAAATCTCATGAGTAAATATAAAAAATCTAAGCAATTAAATAGTCATTTACAATACAAATTACAAATTTAGACATACATCACAATAAGTAGCCAAAAAGCATGTGAAATCTTGAAATCTCCATTTCCTAATGCACCACAAAGATCAACTACATGACCTATAGAAACAAGATTTCCTGAGTGTACAGACCAATGTGCTTGTTATAACTCGAGTAGAATGGTTCGACTACTTGTCTGAAAATCAATGTTGAATCTCCAGTGACAATATAATAAAATAAACATATAAAATACAGCTTTATTGAAAAAATAAAGAAAAATAAAAAATAATAGTAACTTAAACTAAGACATAAAGAACTTACAATGCACTACCTTAAAGCAGCAAGAACAAGCAAAGTATTGAATTATATTGTGTTCTTCTCAAGAACAAAGAAATACAGTAAACTGTGAAAATTTACAGAATTCTTAACTGAGGAAAAAAAAAAAAGGGGAGAATTTTTTCCACTGTAGATGCCTTCCCAATTAAACTTTCAACCAAGAAATTCTATCAACTACAATAAAGAAAAAGAGAAAGAAAGGAGTAACTTCCACTGGTTCAGTTCAATGCAATACACAAGTAAAAAGAAAGAAACAAATGGAAATTGAAAAGTGCAACTTCTACTGGTTCCAAGCAAGAGGAATACCTGATTCTAGGGTTTGAAGAAGCGCAAAACCAAGCAAAAGAACCAGATGACTGTGAGTAAAGAAGAAGAATCTCCATTGTTCTCTGCAGTAATTCTACAGTTTTTTAGTTTTTTTTTTTAAAAAGGAAAAATATATACTGTTAATCGCTTAGGGTTAACTTATACATTGAAAATCACTGGTACTAGTTTAGGGTTGATTTAAGGGATGTTGCCAATGGTTTCTAGGGTTTAAAAAATTAATAGGTTTTTTAAAAAAATTAAAAAAGTGGGAGAAAAAAAGGGGGCAGTTATATGGGGAAAGAGAGAGAGAGAGAGAGAGAAAGAGAGAGAAAACTTCGGAAGGAAGGAAATAAATTTTTTGTGCGTTGAGAGGGAAACCGTCTCGTTACACTCGTGGGTAACGGTTCACTCCGAAAGAATGGGTGTGACTTTTCTGAAATGACACAATTGTCCACAATTACTTGGTGAAAGACGGTTTAACCCTCACATTGCATTTCAAACAGGGCACCCCCGGGAACTGCCAAGGTCCCAACTCCCAAGAAGCTCAACCCGGTTCGGTTTGCCCCGTACTGGCACAGGCCTGGTCTGGGCCCTGGCTAGGTGGGCAGGCCCAGTTTGGCCCGTTTTGAGGCGGGCCAGACCCTCATGTTAAATTTTGTAGCTCAGGCTTTAGTTTTAACCCGGTTTCATACGAATAAATGAAGGGAGAGCTTGTGGTGCGTCGTCTATAGTACACCATGGGCATCATCTAGTATCCATTCCAAATCATGGATGATTAGGGGTGACAAGGTGTTGGGTCTTGTCGGGTTAGGTCCACCTTGACTAGGACCTACCTGGCTGGGTTTTACATGGGCTTGGACCTAGGTTGAGTCTAAGTGGCTTGGACCTGGACTTGGGTCGGGTCCAAGTCATTTGGACCTGGCCCAAGTTTAGAAATTTAAAAAATAAAATTTGTTTATATACAATAATAGTTTAGTGTTACTTTGGATATACCCAAAATTGAAATATTTTTGGATTACAATTCAAAAATATTGTGAAATGGGCTTTAAACTGTTTGGATAACCACAAGATTTTGCTAGATTTTTAGATTGAAATATAAAATACTGCAGTGCTTAAATAAAAGTTACCATAAAAAAAAAATTCAAATCATACTTTATTTTTTTGGATGAAAGTGCGGCTCTTTCACTGTAGCAAGAACCCCCACCCAGCTCTCTCTATTTCAACAACCCAACTCTCTCTCTAATTGGAAACCAAAAAAAACCCAAACTCTCTCTCGCACCCTGTTACCCAACTCTGGATCTAACAAGCTCCTCTCTGTGGATCTAAGAAGCTCTCTATTTTAACAACCCAACTCTCTCTCTAATTGGAAACCAAAAAAACCCAAACTCTCTCTCGCACCCTGTTACCCAACTCTGGATCTAACAAGCTCCTCTCTGTGGATCTAAGAAGCTCTTCGTTGTGGTTTAGTGGCAAAATTGTAGTGCACCTTGAAGGACGAAGACTTCACAATCAACATAACCGATTGCAATGGCTTCTTTTATACTGCAAGAGATAGACTAGTTAGAGTGATGCCGCAAATGGAGCTCTTTTGGTCACATTGTGCCATCAATAACACAAATCTCAAATTTGCATAGACAGACAAGTTCTAGAAGCAACCCTTCATTTATGAAAATTAACGAAAAGCCCTCTTTCAAGTTTTGGGCTTCTTTTCTATGTAAAATAAACATTTTTGCAACCCAAGGCTTTTTTTCTCCCGGTAAATTTGACCCCTTAGTGTCCTCTCTCTAAAATAAAAATAATATTCAAATTAAAAAAAAAAAAAACAAACGGCTGAACTTAATGGTGTTGCTCCATAAGAGAGCGCTGAACTTAAAACCATGGTTTACTTAATGGAGGTCGATTTACTTCAATGGAGGTTTCAGGGGTGATGGTCTTTTCACTTTCAAGCGGGGTTGACAAACCCGATTGCTACCCCTGTGGATGGTAGAGCATGGTCCATAGTACACCATGGCAGCATCCAACGTCCATTTCAAATGAGGTCACTTGCATAACAATATGCAAAATATTTCTTTGTGAATTATTTAATGGAACATTCCTATTGCAAAAGTGGTTTTAGAATCGGCCAGGATTCATGGATGTTTTAGCAAGAAAAATATATATGTAGGTTTGAAATCTATGCCTTGGATTCAAATATATAGTTGGATGGATACTCACTTTGCCTTCATTAAAAAAAATTTGAACATCGTGCTTTTTAGTAGCTTTATTACTATCTTCGATTAAGATGATATTCCATCAAGTGGAGTGTTTAAAGGTATTTTAGTCAATTTATTTTTCATAAATTATTAATTTTTTATAATAAAAGTGTAAACCACTCAACACAATTTTATTTTATTTTTTTTTGTTGAATTTTAACGGTAATTTAATTGAGTAATGAGAGATTACAAAGGAGGTTTACAACTGAAGATTAAACAAATAAAACAGAAAAAGGGGAAATAGAGGGGGAAAGGAAAGGACAAAAGAAGAAGATCGACATAAGAGTAGAAAGGCATCAAAGAGTTACTAATTTCTATTCTTCTCCCTGTTGATGTGCGTGAAGATTACCTCTCTGGCTTGTATATTTGACATGACATCATCCATATTAGCCCATATTTCCAACTTTCTTTGAATTCGTTTTACATGAGAAAAGGATAGACACTGGGATCTTTTCTAGAGTGTGTTTACAATGAAATCACGGTTTCAGTCCTTTACTCTAATGCCGCACCTCAAACTCCATGATTTTGGATGAATAACGACCCAAAATTATGCAAATTTTTATCTTTTTATATCTCAAGATCCAATTTCAAGATTTTTTTTAAAAAAAATCCGGATGTAAAGAGTGCTCTATCATGACTGACATGTTAAAATCTGATCTAAAGTGAAAGCATTCGCAGGATGGTAGAACAATCAGGTTTTAAGATTTCCAAATCTAAGGGTGGAAATGGATTTGCAGGTATTTTGCACCATTTTTTAAAGCGCTGATTCTATCATTCTAGCACGCATACTGCTATTGATTTGTAGTTTTCCTTTCTTTTTTTTTTGGGAAATTCAATAAAAAAATCGAACTTGGTACATACCATTGCTAACAAAACTGCTAAAACCACACAACCACACAGGCCAGCATCCAATACATTGTCCTCAATTCCTCAAAATATGGAGTTTGATATGATGCATCTGGGCCTCATGTAAATGTTCTCATAATTGGAAGGGTGACTTCATTCTTGTAAATCTCGACTGTTACTTGTAGGATTAACTCATCTCTCTCTCTCTCGCTGTGCATGTGTGTCTGTGTATGTGTGGTCCAATAATTACTCTGGATTTTTAGAACCTCTTGGTGAATGCCCTCTTAGAATATATGGTGCTTGGTAAAGTCCCTGGCAGTTCAAGCTTTGGAAGAGTTCAATTTGGGAACCACATGCAAAAAAAACAGTCTGCCATAAAAATCAACCTCTAATACACATCCTTGAAAAAGACCCACTCGCAACTACCTCAAATCAGAAAAAAGCATTATGCAGAAATTAGACTTCCCATTACACTAACCTTTCCCACTACAATAAAGCTTGGGAAACCTTCTTGGTTACAATGAAGACCGTAAGTATGTGAACTCATTCATGGAGTATGTGCATGAGCAGAAAATGATGAACTTATAATGAACATCTAATTTGGATAAACAAAAAAGAAAATAAAATGATAAAATAACTACTGATTAAACAGGAAGTATTCTTCAGCCTGTATTTTATTTTATTTTATTTTTTGAGGAAATTAACTTTGCACTAAAAGAAACAGAATGTACTTGATTTGTTATCAAAGAACTTAATTTTAAACAAGAGAAACATTTCAGAGGCAATCTGTTAGAATTGACAATTAAACCTCATAAATGATTAGAAAAAAAATAAGTTAAGATTTGGGCCATGAAAACCAATGATTCAGAAGCAATGAAGCTTCTGAATAGCCCAGCCAAGGGCTACCAAATTTGGCCTGACGGCAAGGCCCACCAAATTTGGCCTAACGGCAAGGCCCAAGCCTGAAATCTAGGCCAAGTGTCCAAGCCGAGCCTGGGGCAAGGGTCACAACCCAGCCCAGTCATCATCATCATCATCACCCAAGCCTTATCCCAATTATTTGGGGTCGGCTACCAACCCGGCCCAGTCCTACTGCCTTCTTGATTTCCTTGTTATGAATATAACGGGGGGCGGGGGGGTGAATTCAGTATCTATTGGCCTCGCCCAGCCCATTCCCATTAACAAGGCTGGGTTGAGCCTGGACCAATGCCCCTTTAGCTCGGTACAGGCTGGGTTGGGGACGGGCAGGCCCTTTAGGGTCCCAGGGCACCTTATGAATACATTGGAAGCATAAAGATGTCTATCGCATGACTACTTGTAAAGGGGTAGGCAATAAGAACCAAATATTTAACACACAAAGATCAAATTAGAAGCACAAATGAGATTAGGAATTATAAACATGTGATGCGAATACAACACAACCTTACAAGCTCTCAAAAAAACAATACAAGTTACGTGAACTTGGTGCCAATTTTTTCGCACCACAGAAACCAAAGCCATAGCTGAAATTTCACTGATCACTTTAGGGCTTCATCTGGCTTGCGATGAATTCACCTCATTATTAGTTACGACATCTTGGTGGCCTGAACCATTAGAAGTATGATCTCCAGGCTGAGGCGGCATTTGTCTCACTGGATCATTCTGGCGATGCCTCAAGTGTGAGTCACGCCTAGCCTTCCATCTCAAGTATTCCACTATCAAAGAGTTAGTGCTGATTGCTATGCCAAACCCTGTGAAGGATGAAAGAAGCACCGATAGAATTGCCTTGACCTTCAGCTGTGAGTCCACAAAAATCACAGTTTGTGAGTCAGAAAGAGCTGGAAATTTTGAAGTTAGAAAGTGCTGGAAAATTTGCAGGAGATACTTGGATATTAACACTGGTTTCAAAAGATCATAATATTACATACTAGAAAGGCGACGGAACAAGAGTCATTTTTTAGAGTCAATGGGATCTCTCTCTCTCTCTCTCTCTCTCTCTCTCTCTCTGCTTGTGTGTGTGTGTGTGACAAAAAACGGAGATTCCATCTACAAAGGAATAGTATGGTTCACTCATTTGATGTGTTGATGCTTACAATTGTGTAAAATATATGCGCAAACAGAATCACCAGGGCAAATTGGAAGGAAGCATAAGCCCAGATGTAACTCTTGCTCACTGTAAGCATCAGAAACAGGATTTCTCAGTCACAATCATGCAAATTCATACATTTAATGGAATGTGAAACATTTACATGACTTCTCACAAAAAGGAGTCGAGGAGAGTGCGAACGCCAATGGCATAAAAAAACCATAGAACAACAGGGAGCCTACCCATAGTAGAAGCTATCATCGATGAGAGGAGACCAAGGACACAAGAGAAGGGCAAAGATATTGCAAGAGCACTGGATCCCTTATTAGCAACCTGTCTCCATTGAAAAGAGAAACTAATTGGCCATGCAAAGAACTAAGTCTAAAACTAGCAAAATCAGATGAAAACTTACCATCTGCAGGATTTTCTCTAATGTCCTTGTTTTTCTTTTCATTTGACATTAAGATGGGTTAGAAAAAGCCATACTCATGAGAATGAATAGATCTTACCACTTAATTGACCAGTAATAATACACAGTAGGAGAAGTTTCAATAGGTTAGTAATGCGTGGCATACCAGAAGCTGTTCCAGAAAGCAGAAATAGGCGAGCATGCTAACCATGACTAGAACTGGAACATCCTGCCATACCCTATCACAAGTGAAACAAAGTAAGCCATAAATCAATAGAATAAATCAGTATGCTCCTCTGCTTTTAATTATAGGGAAGGTACTATATTACAATGGAAAAATGGAAAACAATAGTCTGTTGAGGCCATCACCATTTGATGAAATGACAAATGGTGACGGAAAATGAGTGGGGACCCACAAGAGGAGGAAATGATCCCAGTGATGGACTCCCTATTTCTCCATGATCAGCCATCATATAATAGGATAGCTATGGTATCAATGGTCTATAATTTTTAATGGTTACTTTGTTATAGTATACATTACCTTGTTCTAATTTATTAATATCTTCATCAAGTATACTAATAAATGATAAAGAAAAGCATTCAATGCAACTTTACCAATATTTAATATTGAAAACGTACCTATACTGACTCACTGCCCTTTGCTGAGCTACGGCAGCTGATTGTCTGTTAACAGGCCGAGAACTTTGAACTCTTAACAATGTCACAGGAAGATTTTTTACTTCCTGTTTGCAAACATCACAAATCTTATTACCCTTTATGCTAAACCATTTTACTGCACACTCTTGGTGAGCAAGTGCCAGCTCATTCTTGCAGCTGCACTCCAGCTTAAGGGTCACACCCCCTTCACAAAGTTCAATAAAACAAATTCTACAGACTGCCTCTTCTTCAGGGATATCTTCACCAGCATCTTCAGATCCTATACCAGATATTTTTTTGACAAAAAAGGAGAAAATGATCTACATTTATAAACCAATAGCATCAATCTGCATATGATGGCATTCTGCAAGCTGAAGGCGTCAAGATCAAGTAACGGAAACCTTGGATCCAGCTTTTTGACATTATGTGTTTGTATGTGTGTGTGTGTGTGTGTGTGTGAGAGAGAGAGAGAGAGAGAGACAGAGAGAGAGAGAGAGAGAAAGAGAGATCTATTGCCCATACATGTCCATTTATGCATGTGAAAGAACACCTTAATCAAATAGACTATGGCAAAATCATAATTAACTGGTTCATCACCACCCCATTGAAATGATGGATGATGAGGGAGATATAGCAGGACCCACCAGAAGCAGAGGACATGACTCCGATGATAGTGCTCATCCCTCTGCATCACCATCCATTATTTCAGTATATAGACTTAGAAAAAAATGGCTTCCCCATTGTCCATTGCATAATAAGACACATAGTACATTGCAATAGAGGACACCTTCCCTATGTGAATTTCTCAGTTGGGCGACTAATACGTCAACAAACTGCAGCTATGAGAAAACTATGAGAACAGAATGTCCATAGTGGATATCAATACCTATCACAGGGGCCTCATTTGGTGAGACAATTTCATCCTTTGGATCACGAGGTGTGGCCGGAATAACTCGGATTAGACCTCCTAAAGAATCCATTCTTCTTAAACTTCTATGTTTGACATTTACAGGAACCGATAGTGAGCGTGATATATGCTTCTGATTAGCTGGTCGCTGTGAGAAGAACAGGAAATTCAGAGAAAAATTTGTAAACTGTAGTATGAAGCATGTAGCCAACCCCAAATAATTGGGATAAGGCTTCGATGATGATGATGGTGATGATGGAGTACGAAGCATGTATACCAAGGAAGAAATATGGTAATGGCTGTCATTTCCAAACAAATCAGAAGGAAAACCACATCTATCCAAATCAAGTTTTAAAAGACTTATTTATTTGAAAACTTTGGCCTACATAATCACAATGTGACTCTGAGATTGCGAAAAATATTCCTGGCCTAATATATCATGCTCAGCCAAAATACCAAAAAGAAGACTGCATCTACCCAAATCAAGTTTTCGAAGACTCTGATTCTCTTTGAAAACTTTGGCCGACACAGATAAGAGCAGGATTACAGTTCCATTTCAGAAAAAAACTAACTAAAGTATCCAAAAAGTTATTAAAGAAGTCAGGCAAACACTTACAATTAGACCAGATTCGTCAGCCACAGCTTCTTGTGCTACTTGTGGAGCTGAATTTGAAACTGGTGTAACTGGTAATGAATGTGTCTTATTCAGTGATGAAGTTAGAAAACCCCTTGTCAAAGAGAAAGACCTCGAAGTAGAAGCCTTTTCTTGTTGTTTCTCCAAGGTTTCTCCAGCAGTAAGCAGCACTGTTTTCTCATTTTCTAACGTCAAGCCCTTTGTCTTGAAGCTCCTTTGTGGCAAGAAATTTCTGATTCCTGGTTTGCTTTTTGCAGAATTTGGTCGTGGAGGTAAGTTCATTCTTGTTGAACTTGGGCTGGGTGTTGGGGGGATGTTTATTCTCACAGAGTTGGCACATGAATTATCTAAGGTTCTCGCTGGTATTTGCAACGAAAGGTTTGGTTTCTTTGGATGTGGAACTGGAGCAGCTGCATCAGATCCCTCACTCTTCTCCAAAACCTACAATAACAAGTAAAAGATACTCATAATAACCTAAGGAGATGGGTTCTTAAGAAGTCAAAAGAGACGATCTATAGTTCAAATATGAAGAGCAGTTCAAATATAAGGAACAGTTCAAATTAAAGTGGAAATATTTCTCTCTGTTATCTAATAATAAGCTACAAGCCATATTCAGGGCCAGCTCTCGTTTCGTCGAAAAAAATCAAATCATCATAATTATCAAAAGAATATAAGAAATATCAGAAAGTTTGAATAGCATGCTTCCCATCAATTATTAACCATTAATAAAGTGCTCCCAAGCAATGCACACTCATTTAGATTATTAGATATTTAATGAAATTAATTTCCTTCCCACAACTAAAGAGAAAACTCATTCCTTCAGATCACAAAGCTCTTCAAATTGAAAAGATCCAGGTTCGTTTGACCTACGTTACGACATATTCCATAGGAAGCCAAACAAAGGCAGTCCATCTAACCTTCATATTATCTATTCTTGTTCCAGTGTCAATCCAAGGGCAAAAGATAATTTTTTGTTCAAAACTTGATATCCAGTTGCCCAACCAAGACTTAGGTCCAACAATGTGTTGAATATTTGAAAACAAATAATGGATCAAACATCCAAATCATTAAAACAGGCTATTTTAAGAAATTTTGCAGACCCAGTTTCTAAAAATTTGATCCAAATTTTGGTTGAATTTTGCTAAAATTCTTTTTGATATTCTTCGATAAATCCCCCTCCCACCTTCGAATGTTCCTCACCCGAAGTTGGAGGGGTCTAAGCGAAAACGTTCAATGCATTATATTAACAAATACAAAGAAAATGGAATAGAATAAATAAGGAAATATCAATATCGCCTGATACATACAATTAAAAAAAATGCTTGGAAACATAAAATGTAGCCAAAAATATAGAAAACTCCAGACAACCTGAGCTTGACAGCAAATCTACAAACAAAACTTAGGAAATTGACCAAACTAATATGTAATGCCATTTGACTAAATAAATAAAAAAAATCACTCGTAATTCCCGTAGAAACCTTATAGTTCATCAGAATTGTATGATTAATTTCAATTACACAGACAAAGAAAAACATAAAGTTTTCATAAATTTCAGCTTTAAAGATGAGTTACACAATTTCATCTAATACCTGTTGAACTTGGGGGCCAGGAACATTCGATACCCCTCCTTCATCTGACCTTAGTTCAGCTATTGAGTCCTCCATTAATACACAGCAACTTGAGTTCACACTTCTGGTGTGGCAACTCTAAATAAAGAGCTAGAATTCCATGGATCACTGGTGGGGAAAAAAACCCTAGACTTTAACAACCCCAATGAGAGCAAGTTCCATCAATTCACAGTTACTAAAGCACAGTGCAATGGAGTTGAAAACCTAGATATCCCTGTGAAAACCATCGAAATTGGATCGATCATTTATGGTTTCTAATGCAAATCCCCAAAATTCTTATTATTAATGGCAGGGAGCTTGGATTGCAGCATGAATGTCAGAAATTACAGTGGAAATCTATTCCTTTTGAGTGAATTAATGAATGAAATCCGAGTTTTGATGAGAATTTTCAGGTGCAAAGAGAAAAAGGCGGAATTTTGTTCGGAATTGTTGAAACCCTAGATTCTCGCTTGCAGTGGTGTTTTACGAAAAGACACCCACTTAAAAGCAAAGGGCCCTCACTGCACTTAAGAGAGAGAGCTTAAAAGAGAGAAGTTTGGAGAGAGAGAGAGAGTTTAATTGATTACAGAGAGAACTTAAAAGAGAGAATTTTGGAGAGAGAGTTTGATTGATTACATTGCAATTTAAGAAACAGAATATATTTAGTGTGAGCATTGATCTTCCTCAGAAAGAGAAATAAATGATGAAAAGGTTTTGAAAATCATAAAATAGAGGGAAATTTGCGGTAATATTTTAAAAGGATTATATACAATAACACTATTTACGTTTTATGCAAAGAAGTTACAATGGCTTACAGATTACAATCATTTGATGTAAATTTGATAGCTTTGGTGGCTCATGAAGTTTTAAAAAATTTATTTTAAAGTTTGAGCTTGGTCAATGAAATAAATACAGCCATCTAATTTCACATCCAATTGTTAAAATTAATTGTGACTACCATATACTAAAGATATATAGTCTTATAATATACTTTTTTATATTTTTAAAGGGAAATGATCTTGTGAGACCCTCTCACACCCATGTGTGTATGATTCCAAAATATCACTATTAAATAAATAAAAAAGACTTTATGAGACCCTCCCACACCTATGTGTGTAGGACCCCCGATCACCATTAAATTTGATACAGATCTCTAGAAAAGTTATCGACTTGACTTTCTATAGATCTTTGCACAATTTAATGGCAATCTTTTGGGGTCCTATACACATGAGTGTGGGAGGGTCTAATAGGATCATTACTCATTTTTAAAAGATAAAGTATATAATGAAACCATTTACCTTTTGTACAAGGTGTATCAAAAGAAATGTTTAAAAAATCGGTGATCAATATTGAAATCAGCCGATCTAAGTCGAAAATCATCGAATACATTTCTATATTTTACATTCATATCCTTTTTTTTCAGTTTTTAAAACAATTCTGCTTTTAGTCTTTTTTTCAGTGGAAACAAATTCATACCAATTCTCGATTGTGTGTTACCCATGCGTAGGGGCCATGCTAATTTCTCTATGTAATTCCAATTTTATTGGATGTTTCTGAAGAGACTTTCAATATTTTTGTTACTAGGTTTGGATTATTATTTGCTTTATTGCTAATTTTGAACCGATGTTTTCATCTTAATAATGAAAAAATACATCACTTTTTTTGGGTGAGTCAGTGGGGAGAGGACTCTAACCCTTTGTAATAATTGAGTCTAGCATTACAAATCAATTAGCCAATTAAGCCCGGGCTCTTTTCCTACCAAAATTGTCAGTTTCGAAGCAAAAGTATTTTAGGAAGAAAAAAATAAAAAATAAGTACAATATATAAACATTAATGATAATTTTGTAATTATTAAAATATTAGCAAAAATTTCTCTAAGATATAATAAAGAAAAATTAAACCCTGTAATTTTATAGGAGAGAGTTTTAAGAGAGAGATAAAGAAAAATTAAACCCTGTAATTTTATAGGAAAGAGTTTTGAGAGAGATAATTTAATTGATCAGGTCGAAATTTAAATAGGATACGTAGAGTGTAAGTAGTGAGCTTATATATAGAGAGAAATAAACAATTGAAAAAGTATTGTAAATGATAAAATTCATATAAAAAAAAAATTGAAAATGAGGAAACAACCAGCATGCCTAGTTTTTGTTTAGAGAAAGAATATGAGGAAAAGGCATTGGAAATTATTAAAATAAAAAAATGATTAAAAATTAGCTGTATGCCTACTTTTAATAGAAGACCAGTAAAAACATGCCACTAAGTGGTCAAAAAGGCATATCAACGGGAGATCTTCATATCATATTTAAAGTCACCACAGTCAATTTGGATAAAAAATTCCATGACATTTTTTTGGGTAAATTCCATTCCATTCAAAGAAGAGATCTTTATTCATTTAAACTTTCAAAAGTCATCCAATATCGGAAAAAGTTTGAGTAAGGTGTCAACCTTATAGTTTACACGTCAGGTGCACCTAAAATTCCCACTAGAAAAAGGTTTTTTTTATGCTAAACCGTCAAATGGGACCTCGAGATTCGTATACATGAAAAAAAAGAGAATTTTTAGTCTTAAAAATAGTTTATTTTCTAATTCATTATCTGAACCGTTTATTTTCAAGATTTAAATCTACTTGATCGTCACTATTTTTAAAGTTTTAAATTTCATAATTGGAACCAAAAAAATAGATTTTGATGTCATCACAATGTTTTACGGTACCGAAACTACATTTTCAGTATAGTTTTGAGGTGTACCTTACTTCAATTGCATATGATTGGCACCTTATACAAAACCTCACCCTTCGATATTTACTCCCTCTATCAAAGAAGACGTCAATGAGGCTATCGGATAAGACCGTAATTAATTTAAATATGTTGCCAATGTTTTTAACATTAGATTGTAGGATAAGAGAGTAATCCAATATTTCAAACATCAAAATTACCATAAAACAACGGTACAATAAAATAATATGATATTTGAAACATCAAACTGCCAAACTTTAGGGTTGTCCAATGATTCCAACATTGAACATAACCTAAATTGTACCTTGGCAGACAAATAGCCCTAAACTTAATAAAAACCTAAAGACAAAATGGAAAAGTAATCCCATTTCTGGCTGAGGGGCAAAAATTAGAAAAAATAAAAGTGGACGGGGTGGACCTCCCCGTAAAATCTACTAAAATATTGACCTATGCATAATAATCCTATTTAAAATATGGTACAGAAGTAATGTTTCCTTGAAACTTCCCCCCCTTGCTTCATTAAAACGCAACAAAGTCATATGTAAAGGTGGTTTGTTCTTTCTTTAGTGACATGCTACTTGATGTCCTAAAAAAGGTATGCCTCATAAGCTCTCAATTGACTAGACCTACTTTAACAACTTTATTTCTATGATCATTCTTTCACTTCTTTATTTTTATGATTATTTGTCCTCCTCTAATCTATCATTATTGCTCTTTATTTTTATTATTCAATATATTTTGTGAAGGGAGACTTGTCAAATTATATTTAAAAAGTTGAACTATTTAAACTAGTTAATTTAGATGTGATTGGATAAATTTTAATAACATTTTTTACTGAGTATCGGTCTCGATCGATAAGTTATTTGAAATCTGATCCAGAGAATGTCGGGCAATTTAAAATCAGATAAGAACTACAAAAAAAATGCCAAAAAGTTTAAATATTAAACATAATTCAATTAATTTTCCTTTTATAAACTATATTTCAAAAGTATCATGATTTTTTGGGCACATGAACAAAAGTCCGCTTTTAAATTTCTCGCTATTCTTATTTTTCGTATTTTATTTCCTTTTTATTGATTGCCACTCTTATTATTCCCCCCAAATTTCCTAAAATCTTGCCCTGTTTATTTTTATTTTCATATTCGCTTGTGTAAACAATTTTTTTTTCTAGTGATATTTTTGTAATTTATTCAAATTTTTAGTGGTCATGAGAAAATTGGTGATGACTATCGATACATCCATAGCATGTGGAATTGTGAACTAGTAATGATGGCTTTTTTGGGTAATGGAATTGTGGGTCATTGAATGTTGATTCAAATGGTATTTCCATTTGAAAATCTACATTCATCTTTACGATAATTTAAAAATCTACTCTCATCTCTACTCGTGAAACTTAAATTTTTTTAAAAATGGTATAGATCGAGCAAATTTATGAACACTTGAAATCTTGAAAATAAACGATCCAAATAACTTGTTACAAAATAAATTATTTTTAAGACTTGAAATTCTTTTTTTCTACATGACAATACATCTCGAGGTCGGGATGATCGATTGGGGGTTTTTCAACCTCAAAGCACTCCTTGAGGATGATTTAGGTGTATGATACTTTAATAGTGTAAAATTTACACATTGTATAAACTTTTTCTTTTACCTATTGGTATAAAAAAGTAAAAATTATCTCAAATCATCCGAGATATAAACTAATGGGTTGGTGTCCATGTAAAATTTAGAACAAGTTTATTTTGAACTTTGAGAAGCAACCAGTGGCAGATTCTCCACCGTCTGATATCATATTTAACAGCCTAAATTAATATTTATCCTTTTGTTCATGAGGTAAATGATCTTATTGAATACTTTCTTAATCATTGTTAGTTAAAGTAAGTTTCAAAAGTTATATATTCTAAAACTTTTTTATATTATTCAAAGTTAAGTGGGAGATCGATCATATCAATTCGGTCGGAGTTAAAAGAAGGGAATTTGTCGGTTGGATCGAGATCAATATGTATCCTTTTTGAGTTAAGAAGTTTTAGGATTTTGGTCCCACAATAATAATGGAATAGACATCATGTTTGGGAATTTCTTTTGCAAATTATTTATGCAGCATATGCATGCATTAAAACCACAATTGGATAGGGATAAAGCAATCATAGTAGCCGTCCTTCTTGGTGTTATATGCTACTTAGTTATATTTTGTGATACTTCAACTATTTCTACTAAACATCTAAATTTTGATAGAACAACATGTTCATACAGTTTTTTAAAATAAGAGATACGTTCCCTAAGGTCTCTGGTCTGAGTCAGAGGCTGGCTCAGTTGATTCCCCACGGTCTCAATTCTGAGTCAGAGGTTGACTCAATTGTGTCTGATTGCTTGACTTAGCCAACTAGTTCTGTTCGACACTTTCGAGTCTTAGCTAAAAAAAAAAAACATACATCGAGTTTGTCTTTTTTAGAACTTTAGTTAGATTTTCATGATTTGGAAACTGCCTCCTGCCGAACCTACGTGATTCAGTCAGGTTTGAGCATAAGTAAGCATTTTCTTGTCACTAGTACATAAGATTTGGCTTCCCAAACTTTTTTGTATGATGCAACAACATGTTGGATATTTAACAGAGAGTATGAGGTCAGCCAGCTAACTGATAGCTACAGTAAACACTCAATGGTGCAGATTGAATATGGGCTGATCTAATTGTTATGATTATCTTTTGTATTTGAATTCACTTGAAATTTTGAGCATCTATTATTAAAAAACCAAGCAAACCTAATAATAATATTAAAAAATAATTTATAAAAAATAAATTGATCAAAATACTATTGAAAATTGTAGGGGTATTTTAATCAATTTATAAATTTCGTTAATATTTTTATCAAGTACATATTTATGAGAAGAGTATATGCTTCAA